CTCCTGCTCCAGCGTGGGGTCTCTCCCATGGGAAACAGTCCTCACAAACTTCTCCAGTGTGAGTCCTTCCACAGGCTGCAGTTCTTCATGAACTGCTCCAGCCTGGGCTCCTCTCTCCCCAGGTCCTGCCAGGAGCCTGCTCCAGCACAGGCTTCCTACAGGCTCCTTCAGGCTCAGCTACTTGCTCCAGTGTGGGGTCCTCCTGGGGCTGCAGGTGGATCTCTGCTCCACCATTAGCCTTCATGGGCTGCAGGTGGGTATCTGCTCCATCGTTACCTCCATGGGATGCAGGTGGGTATCTGCTCCATCGTCACCTCCATGGCTGCAGGGACACAGCTTCCTCACCGTGGGCTGAACCACGGGTTCTCTGCCTGGAGCACCTCCTCTCTTCCTTCCTCACTGACCCTGGTGTCTGCAGGGCTGTTCCTCTCACATATTCTCACTCCTCTCTTTGGCTGTTGTTCTCGCTGTTGTATAGTGACTTTTTCCCCTCTGAACTGTGTTATCCCAGAGGTGCTGCCACCACCACCAATGGGCTCAGCCATGGCCAGCAGTGGGTCCATCTTGGAGCTGGCATTGGTTCTGTTGGACATGGGGGAAACACCTAGAGGCTTTGCACAGAAACCACCACTGTAGCCCCCCCACTACCAAAACCTTGCCACACAAACCCTCCACAGCACCGGTTCTGGCCCAGCAGAGATCCTGGCTCTAAAATGTGTTACACCCATGGGGCTGCATTTAACATGTGTCCTGGTGCGATAGGGCGGGTTTGGAGGTAAGGGGATTATGGTGGAAAGGGCTGTACATCCTGTGTTTAAAGCTGATGTCTTCAGGGCTGTGTCATGAATTTGGTTTGGTTTGGTTTTTTCTTTTTTTTCTGGCTTGACTTCTGATTTGGAAGCGGCTGGGCAGAAATTGAGGTCATTGCAAATGTGGCAATGCCACTTCACTTTCTGTAAAGCGCTGGCAGCTTCATCAAGTGAGCCCAGGGTACCAGCTGAGAGGTCTGAAAAGAAAGTTCCTCCCCAGTACAATGTGAGATGGGCAAAGGAGAGGCTGTCCTTGGAGGAGCCGGGGTCCGAGGGTGTGGGGAGTGCACAGCACCATGCTTTCGGAAGTTGGTTTTACGCAGTAATTCTAGCTGTGGCTTATAATTTTCCATTCTTGCTTGGAAATTGTAGAGGAGTGAAAGGGAGATGGGTTTCAGCTGTCGACGCTTCAGGAGCATTCAGCAGCGTTGGTGGATGAAAGGAGCAATGTGGTGGCTTTGCTCTGCAGAGGTCTCAGAAATACCCTGGCAATGAAGCGCTGTGTGGTTTTGGGCTTGGTGAGAAGGAAGTGGGAAACTAGTGCCAGCCCTCGGTCATTCCTGGGCTGACGGAGCTCTTTGAGAAAGTCGTACATCTGGTGCTTTCCCATATGGTCCTTTCAAGAGGCTCGTTTGAGAGCGAGGGTTACAAGAAGAGCCAGAAATAAACAGCTCATGATCCTATTTGTGGGACATAAGAACAGAATTGTTGAAGACGGGACAATCGGTGAATAAAAGCCTGGTTTTTAACAAGGCTGACATTTTGCTGTGTCTATTCAGAGACTTTTGTGTGTTACAACACGACTTTTTCCATAGCGTGTGGAGGAAAACCTTTGGGTCTACGAAACAGTGGCTAAAGAAAAAGCCTGAGATAGAGCAGAGCGTGTGTCCCCTGGGGGTGGTCTTCTACCCCATGGTCTGCATCCGTGCAGAACTTCTCTTCCCTTGGCCTTGGTCAGTCCTGCTAGCCAGGTAGTGGCCAAATCACCTCTCCTCCAGAAAGGACTCTGTAGTTCAATAGTTCTTTATACCTCTATCTCTGGGAGTTTTTACAAACAGAAGTTTTGGTTTGTCAGCTCTGCTCCTCTGAAGTTCTGCATGAGATTTAATATCATCTTCTATGCCCCTTCGATTCAGTCATCCTTTCCCCAGTTGCTCTAAGATGTGTTGTCCCATTTTTATACCTATGACACTACTAGTGACTACGGCCAACTCTCCCAGCTCAAATCCTCTTCTGTTTGCATTAACCATGGTGACCATCAGCTTTCGAATCCCCATGTATCTGCTTTGCTTGGCCACCTGTCCCCTCTCGCCATAGAGCAGAGGAGTGCAGGGTGCTGCTGTTATTTTTCATTTGTTTTAGCAAATCTGCTGCATGAGCGTGGTGGGGAGCACCCATTGCTCCCTCCTTCAGTACTACAGGACGTTTTACCTGGCTCACCAGCCTCGGACAGATGAGAGCTGTGGAGGGATCCCAGCCCAAAGCTGGGCACCTTTCTTCCTTTCTCTTAGATGAGGTGCTGGGATGCTGCAGCAGCCTCACCTGCAGCACGGTTGTGTGGTTTGCTTGCCCACAATGCTGAAACCCTTTAAATGTTGCCAGGAAGAATGATCTGAAGAGCCTTCCCCTCTGCTTTATCCCTTCGGGGTGCCATTTCAGTGGTACTAACATTAAAAAAATAGCCTCAGTACATACATATTCTACCATCACATTTGGTCCAAAGGGCTGTGTAAGTATAAAAGCATCGCTTTAATACCTTCCTTTTGCATAAAATTGTGTGGTGATGCACGTTCAGGATTGCCCCACCTGTGGCTCTGACCTGTGGTGGCAATTTTGGTTGGGAGGTGGAACTTTCATCGACTGCAATTTTCTCAGTTCTGTGGAGCCAGGGAGACAACAGCATTCCGATGTGAAATGGGTCAGGGGGGTGGTGTCACTGTCCCACCCCCAGCCGTGTGATGGAGCACCATGGGTTTGATCAGGCTCTGCATCCCGCCTTCTCCTTCAAGTGGATCAGTAGGTGGCTCCCCAAAAAAAACCTTTTTTGGACAAACGAGTGATTTCCTTGCATGTGAAGTTGCTCCACAGTTTATCCACTGTTTTTTTTGGGGGGGGGTGTAGCTAACATTATTGTTCCCCTCTGAAGTCTGGTTTTGCCTCAGTTTCTGTCTGAGAGAGGGGAAAACACTGATCCATAAACCTATGAGAAATCACAGCGGCTGTTGCCAGAGGTTATTGGAAAATCGAAGGGTCTGCACGAGGGAAGAAATGCAGCTGATCCCAGCTGGGGAGGTGCTGCCCTGGCACCTGGTTTCTCCTCCACCTTCATCACAGCTCCTGATGTCCTTCTGGTACGAGACCCCGCGAGGGGGAGAACTGACCTTCAGATGCAAGGATAAAGGTATCTCCCCGCCTATGGTTGCTTCAGGGTGTCATATAAGGGGGTGACCCCACGAAATGGAGAATGAGGCTCCTGCTGCAGCACGCTGCTGGGGTTCAGCTCTTCGGTGCAGCCTGCGGAGGCAGGAATCAGGCACACGCCTCCAGAACCCAGGGAATTGATTGCTGCCAGCCCCTGATTGCATGAATCGTAGAGCACACCATGGCTGTGCAGAGCTGGGGATGTCTCAGATGTCCAAAAACGGCAGCACTGCCGCTCAGCTCATCCCATCCCATCCACGTGGGTGTGCAGGTGACCCCTGGACCTCCTGGCAGCTTGGCATCTGCTGCGTGTGTTTTTTGAGGCAAAATAAATATTTGGGCAGAGGCAAAAGAACTGCTGCTGCCCTGTGGGACATGAGATCTGCCTGCCCTGACTGGCAGATAATTGGAGAAAAACTTGGGTTTCTCCAAGGCTGAGTGTGCTCAAGGCAGAAGAGTGATTCCTGGTGCGGGGGAGCGTGATGTGCCCATGGGGTCCTGGCTGGGGCTCGTCTCCCCTCCGACACAGGGGGCTGCCAGTGGGCTCCAGGGACACGAGGAAGGGGACTTCCCTGGACTGCACAGAGGAGGAGACTTGGGGCCCTTCTTGGTGTGATGGGGGCGGAGGAGACCATGTCCTGACCTGTGCCCACAGCCGCCCACCAGCACAGGGAGTTGCGTACGCTGTAGCTAAGCCAGCCAGAGGCTCTGGTGCACAGTCTGCCCCTGTGTGTAACGCATTTTCCCTGATTCTCTGGCAGAAAGCAGCTGGTCCCCCATGTGTGTTTTGGGGGGGCACGCTGAGCTGCCTAAAGCTAAGCAACAAAAGTCATCTTGTGCAACCCCTGAGAGCAAACAAGAAAGTCAGGAGCAGAAGGGAAATGGGAACCTATCCTGAAATGCCACGGCTGGGGAGCGCTGGTGCTGGCTGACCTCTGTGCAAGCGTGGTGGTCACTGTGTCAGGGGAGTTCTCGGTCCTCAGCACCCCCTGCCTGGATGCCCATACCCTGGGGGCTTCCTGGGGCTCAGCAATGCCACCGAGCAGTGCAGTGGGATGTCAGCCAAAGCTCCCATCAGCTCAGGTGTGCACATGGGTTGTGCTCCCCACTGAGTCTGAGGTCTGGAGGGCTCTGCCTGAGGGTAAGGGACCCGTTTCAGCCCTGGGCAGGTGTTTCTGGGCAGGTCTGTCTTCTCCAGCCCCTCCCCTCCTGAACCCTAATTAGGTGCAGGACAAGATAAATGGGGATGGGAGGGGGAGGCACAAGGGAAGGTATATGGTGGTCTGCTCAGCCAGAACCCCCCTGGGAGCTGGGCAGGGGGACAGGAGCAGTTCTGGGTCTCTGATGAAGCTAGTAAAAGCACAGCTGGCCAGGGTAAGGGGAGAGCAAGTCTGGTTCAGCATTGCTGCAGCAGTAGGAACAGCCGGGGGCTCCCCCTCAGCCCCCCACGAACATCACAGCTTTCGGGAGGGAGGCAGGAGGAAGGGGTTAAGGAAGGTGATGTTCTTTGCTGTCTTTTCTGCTTGTAACTGTTCTTTTCTCAGTTTCAAATCTCAAAATGTGTGGGGCTGGATATCTTACTGACATCGCAATAGAGGGGAAAACCTGTCCAAGGGTTAAAGTTTGAGCAATTGAGCAAACAGGACAACTCCTCCTTCTCGTCATGTGAGCATGGCTGCAGCTGAAAGCCAGGGGGGGAAAAAAAATCATCAACAAGAAGGCTGTGGCTTCACCGGAGACAGGTGCTCTTAGGGCAGGCTGGGAAACACGATGGATTTCCTGCCAAACTTTTCTTCTGTTACTTGGCTGCTCCTCATTGTTTTCCTTAGCCTCCTGGTCCTGTAAGTAGAGGCTGGCCCCCAGGGTGATGGGGAGGAGGAGGACTCTGTGCCTGGGGGGGACTGGGGCCATCACCTTGTGTATGAACCACCCAAGTACATGAATTAGTGTTATAGAAGCCATCCTTGGTCTTCCTGTGCTACCTGCAAGGCAGAGGCATGGGCTGATAAAGGCTGGGGGGGCTGTGGGGCTCCCTTTGCCCTCCCGGTGCCAACTGCAGCGAGGAAGCTGGGCTGGGAAGGAAATAAACAGGAACTTCGTGACTTTTTTTTTTTTTTTTTTGCTTTTCTCAGCAGATCCAAAAGAAGAAGTAATTTCTGTGTTTTTAACCTCTGGTTTGGTGTCCCCGGCCGGGCTCTGGGAGCAGGGCAGTGGGAGATGCCTGTGTCTGCCCATGTGCAGACAGCAGGAGCCCCTGTTTCAATAGTTACGTTGGGAAAATTGCCCTTTTGCTTATGTCACTCAGGGGAGCTGTAGTGAGCTACACAGGCAAAACTTAATTTTGCTGTTGTAATTTATGTCCCCGCTCGGCTGCTGTGCTGCCGTGGCTCTGGCATCGCTGTAGGTCTTTGCAAAGACAAACACAAGGGCAGCTCTCCACTTGAGAACTTAATCCCTCTGAGACCTCTCTTCAGCCACCTGAGTCACAGGTCTCTCTGATCCCGAGAACTAAACGAGGCTCCTGAATAAAGACCTGAGGCGCCCGGTTATGCTGTGTTAGGCTGGGCTGCAGCTCCTGTCAGCCCTTGTATCACAATGTACCCCGACTTGTCTTGTACCCCAAGCGATCCTGCGTCACTGCAGGAAAAGAGCATCCTCAGCAGGGCTGCTGCTGCTGGTCCGTGACTTCAGCTTTCTCTCGGTGACAGGAACCAGTTTTCTAACCTGCTCGCTGTGCTCAGGATGAAGAAAATCCTCTTTTTATTGCATAAATGCATCTCCCTTGCTCTTTGCTTGGCAGCTATGGGATATGGCCCTTCCAGGCCTTCAGGAAGCTGGGCATTCCAGGGCCACAGCCTCTGCCATTTTTGGGAACTTTCCTGGGGTACCGGCAGGTGAGTACCAGCAGCTGCTGCTCCGTAGCTGCCTTAGGTTCTTACTTGTAGCTGATGCCATTTTTCCCCTCCTTTGGATCTTTTCTCTGCCCTTGATTCAGTTGGATGGAAATGATGCTTTCAGGTAGGAAGCTCTCTGGATACACAGAGAACACAACAATGACTTTTAGGGTCTAGCTGACCTGAATGAGGTGTGCTGTGCTTTTCAACTACTTTGTAATTTAATTTATTAGTTTCTCCCTGAATTTCTATCTGTTCCCCAGCAGCTGAAGCTCTGTTGTAAAGAAAGAAAAAAAAATATTGGGGGGATGACTAAGACTGCTGATTTATGAGAACTGCACGTTTCTTGGTGCTTTGTGTTGTCCCCATTAAGAGGCTGAATTATCCCCAGCAGTGCCCCATCCAGCCACTTGCTGTTGGGCCATCCTGAAACTGAGCAAGACAAATAGATTTCTAATTAAAACTCAAATATTATCAAGCTACCAAACCTTACCAAGTAACTAGGTTCCATGTAACTGCAAATGCAGAACAAAATGTGTTAGCTTCAATGAAAGAGATGCTTTAGGTTGTTTGCTGTGCTTACAGCATGGATGTGATCTGTTACTAATGGTTTAGTTGATGCATGGTGAGTGTTATGTGTCCCATAAGTTTCATCCTTAACATGTAACATCAGTTAAAACCTTAGTGGAAACAAAGCAAAACAAAAAAGCCATCATCGCTCCGGTTCAGTAACTGCAGTGGAAGATCTCATGAGGACAAGGCAGCAGCAGCTCTAACCTGTTGAGCTGAAGATGAAAGGACACCCTGGGATCTAGTTCTGCCTGCTAACTCCGCTCGCTAAAACTGTGTACCCTGCCCTACCTTGTCTTCATTACATTTTTATCTCAGGTTGACTAGTGGAAGTTGAAAGTGCTTTTTTTTTTCTTTTTTCCTCTCTCTGCTCTCTTTTTTCCCTCCAGTGCAAATGTCCCTTAAGCATCTATGTGACTCTTAAGAGCTCCCACGCACCCCCAACCTCTGCCACTTACAATGGGTCTGTGGGATGCCCTGCACTGCCAGCTGGGACCTGCTTTGATCACTCTTTGCTGGCAAACTGTTCATTTCTCCTTTCTTCTTTTGCAGGGAGTCCTGAATTTTGATCAGACGTGCTTTGAAAAGTATGGCAAAATCTGGGGGTGAGTTTCTTTCTGCAGAACAAAACTACCTCTTTGGGGTGCTCTGGGCCCCAAAATAGAATGGAAAAAGATACGTTGCCACCATGTCTCAGGTCTGTAATTCCAGCAGCATTCCAGGTCTATAATTTCAGCTGGGTCAGGGAAAATCCCGGTTCATCACTGGGAAAGTCTCCAGACATCTCTCCAAGGATTCTCTCCTGCTGGGATTTCAGCATGGTGCAGGGCTGGGATGATGGCCACCAGTTTGGGGGGGTCATTGGTTTGCATAAGCTTTGCACATAACCTTTTTTTTTCTTCCCTTTGGGAGCATTACAAACAAACCAGCAGTGGTAGTGACCTCGGGGCTGGGGAAACTTGAACCACAGAGAGCCCAGGGAGCTCCCCTGGTCCTCCAACACCCGCCAAATCAGCACAGCCATCCCTTTATCTCTTAGCTCCAGATGCATTAGTGAGAGAAGGCACCAAGCATTTCTGCCTGCCCAGAAAACTCCACTGCTTGGTGTCTGACTGAGCCTCACGCCTTTGAAGCTGCTCTTCGTCTGTCTCGAGCAGAAAGCAAGCTGCAGGCTGCCACGGTGTTTTTCATCTTGCTCCTTGCTTCTCCCGGAGCCGGGGCACGAGCTACCTTTCAACCTGCCTCCTGGCTCCCTGCACAGCGCTGGGTTTGTGAGCGGCCTCTTATCATGCTTCTCTTGAGAACCTCTCAAACCGAAGCAAAAATTGTTGTGCAAAAAAAAATCCTAGGAGGCTTCATGAAACCTAGTGCTTTTTTTTTTTTTCCAAAAGATTAAACATTCTCAACCCTCCTGAAGACAGCAGCTTCCCTCGGCTGCGGCCCAAGGCTTCCTGCCCTTTAGTCCACACCATGGCTTTTAAGTTTTTCCATCTTTGTTGATTGGAAAAAGAAGGAGACAGGTGAGTTTTTCCCCTCTCATCGTCTCTTAGGGTAGGGAGGGAAATCTCTTTACCCCACAGGTAGGCTACTCGGTGTGGATTTATTGACTCCAGCCACCAGTTGCAGAAACAGAGCTCAGACAGCCCAAGTGCAGGGGATCGATGTCGTGGCAAAAGCTGCCTTTTATCTAAACCCACACTGCTTTCTTTCATGCTACAGGCGATTTCTAGAAATGCTCACACTGGCACTTTATTTCCCTTTCTCCTGTTTTACTACACAATAAACCAGTTTCAGCCTCAGCCCTTCAGCTGTTTTGTCAGAGGGGACTCAGCTGGCCCCAACCCTCTGGGCTCGAGCAGTCGATGTGCAGGGCTCTGGCCGCAGACAAAGCAGCTTCTGCTCCGACTGACCGTGAGCCATGGACTCACTGCGGGTTTCTCTTGGCTTAGGATTTTTGATGGCAGGCAGCCTGTGCTGGCTGTTCTGGACCCCATCCTCATCAAAAACATCCTGGTGAAAGAGTGCTACACCAATTTTACCAATCGGCGGGTAGGTATCTGGTCCTGTGCTTGCCTCTCCAGTGCAGAGTGCTCGGAGCAAGAAAGAAAGAGTTTCTTCTTGTTTTCTGTTTTCCTTCTCTGTGCCCTTCAGCATGTGGTTGCTCTCTGTTGTGCGCTGGTTTATTGATGGTACCAACAGCGAAATGAGGGCGGTGTAGAGGCCACTCTGGCTGGGACATTGGGACCTCAGCCTGGATGCACCCTAGGACTGATGTCATTTATGACTCTTACACTTTTGTTTCCATTTCTATTATTTGCTGGTTGAGGCAGAGCTCGTATTACTTCAGGGGCCAAGTCAACATTTCATGGTGGGGTTGTTTTTTTTTGGCATTACTGTCACATGGAAGAAGGCTGGAAGCCTTTACCCATCTCCACATATAACTATGTCCCTTTTGCTGTAAAACTCTGCCTGCGCAGAACTTTGGTCTGAACGGGTTCATGGAGTCGGCCCTCAGCCTGGCTGAAGATGAGAAGTGGAAAAGGATTCGCGCTGTGCTGTCTCCAACCTTCACCAGCGGGAAGCTGAAGGAGGTAAAGCAGAGGCCACTGGTGCTTTGCATCAATAGCTGGAGGGGGCCTGGGCCATTGCTGAGTACAGACCTTCTCCTTAAATGGGGAAATTACTCCATTTCTCATGACCACATCCATTAGCATCTGTGTTGTTGGGTGCTGTTCAGCAACACGGTGGCTGTCTGCTGTCATGGGCAGGGAGCCCGTTTTCCGTGTGCTTGGGAGCCATGTTCACTCCCAGCTGGAGTGGAGGCTGAGCTGGACTGGGAGCTGCGTGTGGATTTTGGGAGGAGAACCTTCTTCAATCCTAGTCAGCTGAGCTCTGTAGACTTATAACTCTGTAGGTTATTAAGATGAGAGAAAGCAATGTCTGAGGCCTGGAAATGATCCTTTCTCGTGTCTGCTCTTCCTCTACAACCCAAAGTCTCGTCAAGTCACTGGTGGCAGGGAAGAATTGCCCAGCCTTGGTTGATGGAGGAGTCAACAGTGCCTTCTGCTTTGGTTTGCATTTCAGATGTTCCCTATCATTAACCACTATGGTGAAATATTAGTGAAAAACATTGAGAAGAAAGTGACTAACGATGAGTTCATGACCATGAAGGAGTGAGTAACTGTGTGGGGCTGACAGAAAAGAGTTTGTGTGGGGAAGGACCCATTTTGGAGAGCCTTTTCCATGCTGCAGCATAGATTCCTTGTCAACTGTGGAGGCAAACTCCATAGTGGTCATGGGCATGGTATGCTCCTCCGTGGTGGGCTTGCTGTGCTGTGGTCAAACAGGGCTCTTATTTGCTACTCTGGGTTCATCCCATTCACTTTCTCTTCTTCTCTACCTAGCATTTTTGGAGCCTACAGCATGGATGTGGTGACCAGCACTTCTTTCAGCGTGAATATTGACTCCATGAGCAACCCTAGTGACCCCTTTGTCACCAACATTAAGAAATTTCTCAAATTCAGTTTCCTAAACCCCTTCTTGGTATTCTTAGGTATGACACACCTCATCTCATACAGCCCCAAATCGATGTCAGAGGTGGAGACAACCTGCATTTCCTGGTAGCTTCGTTAGTAGTGTACGGGAGACAGTCAGCACTTTGCAGGATTAGATTCACCCTGGCAGATCTGTAGAAATAGTTCCCCAGGGAAACCACAGTCAAGACTTGTATAGCCCATGTGGGTCTTTGCAGTGTCCTCCTACAGAGACTGTTTGCGGAGACATGATGGAGAGCTGCTCTGTCACAGAGAGCTGCACTTCGTGTGGCATTGTGGCTATATAGTGATATTCTCAAGTGCTATTGCATGCCAGCCATGGCTAGGTAAAAAGCGAGATGAAGGAAACAAAAAGCTTTCTATGCTTTATGCCAGTTTTGAATTTCTTGGTCCCCTTTGAGCTAAAATGTGTTTGTTCTCTCCTTTTAGTGTCGTTCCCCTTTGTTGTCCCAGTGCTGGAAAAGATGAATGTGACTCTGTTCCCCTCAAAGGTCATGGACTTCTTCAAGGACATCTTCATAAAAATGAAGAAGGAACGGGAAATGGGCAGCAGCATGGTGAGTCCAGCCCAGGTGGCCTCTTCTCTTCACTGTCCTGTCCTGTCCTTCTGAGTGTAGGAGGGACCTTCTGGCATCTTCAGATGCTGTGATGTATCGCCTGCTCTCCGTAACAGCTCCCAGCTCATCAAACCTGGGGAGGGCCAGAAGCATGCCCCACGTGGGCTTCCACCTGGAGAAAATATCCTGCAGCTGGAGCAGGTGTCTCAGCATGGAGCTTGTGCTGGACAAGGTTTGCCTCCTCCCCACCCACATCTTCTCTGACCGCCTCTGTTTCTCCCCAGGACCGTGTTGATTTCCTGCAACTCATGGTTGACTCCCAGAGCTCACATGACAACTCCAAGTCTTCTGGGACTGACTCGTACAAATGTATGTCCTGAGATCTGTCCTCCTCTCAGCAGAAAGCATGGTAGTTCCTCGTGCAGTTAAAGGAAGGAAGTAGGAGAGGATTTTAGTCATTAATCCTATGGGAGATGCAATATCTCAGTAGTGGGACCATAACGGTGCTTATCACGTATCAGCCATATTTTATTATATCCCGTTTCCTGTGATAAATCCTGAGGTCTGTGTTTGCAACAAAGAGCACACAGAGTGAATATCTCCTTACTCCCATTTCTTATCATCTCTGAAGGCCAGCACACAAGGTGCGTATCCTGCACGTACCTTGCTCATCGGTGAGCTCATCTCTGTTCCTCATCCTAGATTCAACTCTTAGATTTAGAAAATAACAGCTCAGCCAAGGCATAGTCCCAGTCCATCAGCCTAAGTCAAGGCAGGACGCTTGCAAACTTTTGAGGTCCAGGACAGGGCATCAGTACAGCACCCTGCACCACCCTGGCAGCGCTTGGACATTACTGTGGACCCGTCTTGTCCTTATTACCCCTGCTACATTGGGCTCAGGGCTACTAATCCCTCAGCAGCACAAGGCTCACCTTATGGCTTAGATGAGCTACTGGACATCTCTTAATCTCTAACTTTTCCTGGTATGTGCCTTTTTTTTCTTTTTTTCTTTTTTTTTTTTTTTTTGGGCCAGGAGCATGGTCCCTGAAGACAACAGAGACTTTCTGAATCAGGCTCAGGCTGCACATACCTTGATTCTGCTCTTAAAGAAAGCAACGTAACACTGTTAATTTTGACAGCAGTTTGGCTGGACAATAGTGCCAGATCGACCCCTTCATGGTGCCACAGGGTTTGCTTTACCAGGTGTTAGGAGTTAAGAATAACATTACCTGGATCAGTGGGATCCTGAATTCCCAGGGGTTGATCACTGCAGTTTTCAGCTTCTTGCATGTGCTTTTATGCCTCTTTTTCAGCATTAAGCGACGAGGAGATTCTGGCCCAGGCTCTTATCTTTGTCTTTGCTGGTTATGAGACCACCAGCTCCACCCTCAGCTACATATCATATAACCTGGCCACTCACCCTGACGTGCAGCAGCGGCTCCAGGATGAGATCGATGCAAACCTACCCAGCAAGGTACAGGAGGGTGGGGGAGATGCTGGGATTGTTCCCACCTGTGCCTCGTAATCCCTGAAAGCCAGCTTGGAAACAAAAGAGAGTGGAGGGGGTGCTGGCACTGAGATTTCCCCTGCCCTGGTCTCTAATGCCTGAAGGGGAATTGCTGGGGGGGTTTTGGGGTACAAGTCCCATGTTTGTACCCATCCTGATTCTTCTCCCTAGGCTGCTCCCACCTACAGCACCATCATGCAGATGGAGTATCTCGATATGGTGGTGAATGAATCTCTGCGGCTCTTCCCCCCTGGGGGACGGATTGAGAGGGTCTGCAAGACTACGGTGGAGCTCAATGGTGTGACTATTCCAAAGGGCATGGTGGTCATGATCCCAGCCTACGTGCTGCATCGGGACCCGGAGTACTGGCCAGAGCCGGAGGAGTTCAGGCCTGAGAGGTGAGGGCCCGGCCGGGGGAAGAGCTGCACGGTCAACTTCAGCCCTGGAGTGGAGATAGCAGCGAAAGGGGGGAATGCATGGTTATAACATTTAAATTAGGCATTTATCATTGTCTGACATCTAGTCCCAGCATTACCGTGAGGGGAGTTTTATGATCTACATCCATAAACTGTGCATGGAATTTAATTAACTGCATTGAAGGGAGCGACAGTGAGAGCAGCTCCCAGCAGCTGTAACACTGAGGGGTTTATGGCCAGATATTAAAACGAGAGCCATTGGGTGACTGGCACGGTGCCGTGCAAACCAGCAGTGGAAGGACAAAGATGGGTAGGAAATAAAACTTGATTTTTGAACCCAAGTTATGAAACAATCCTTGCTTAGGAGTCTGTCAGACTCTGAGAAATGAAGCAAAGGCCCAAGGCAGACCTGGGAGACCCTGGGCCTGCTAGTCTTCAGGTGGCCATGAAGATGTTGAGGGTTGGTCCAGAGAGAGCAGGACCAGATCTGTGCCCTTGCACCAGGCACGGAAATACCCCTGGAAGCTAACCCCAGTGTGGGGATGTGGAGACCTTTGGGACAAAACGTGGCAGCAGCATCAGGCAGAAGTTAGGGAAGGAGGTGGTGCTGCTGAAATCACCTCTGGACCCCT